AAAAGAAAAGTCGTTACAAAGCTCTTAATCGATTAAGTGTCTTAATCAAATCTCAGTACTTATCAGATAGTACTTGAAAGTATAACACGTATGAAAATTAATGCAGAGATATTTTTATTGATAAAGAATCGATAAGATCGATAATTTAAGTATTATTGGAAATTGATCGAGTGATGTTGATATAATTTTAAACGTGTGATTATTTTATCTAGAACAGAATAGATTTTATTAGAATATATCTGAAGATAATATTTTTGATTATAATTGAGAATAAATTTATTAGAAAGATATTGATTGTGATTTTAAAAATTTAGCTCGCCAATTTATATACTTTGTAATTCTAAAATTATATTTTCTTAATAAGATCATAGTTCTCACAGTTTTATTGGTCGTTATTTGCACGATTGGATCGTAATCTACATCTAACTTCTCACGGTGAAATTGTACATAAATTTCTGACTTACGTGTAAATTACACAGTTATCATTCAATAATTTTTTAGAAATTCAATAAAAACAAATAATTATTACCACTTTGAAGGATGAAAAAAAATTTTTTTTTTTTGAATTTATGAATTATTCAAATTGTTTAATTGTTTTTTATCATTTTTATTATGAGTTAAAAGCGCACTGAATATTATTGTGTTCCATATTCCACATTTATTAACCAGGGTTATTCACTAATGGATGAATTTATTTGATAATCATAAATTCATTAGATTGAAATTTCTATTAAGCACAGCTTATTGGAAATAAACATCTGTTAATAGTCAATAAATCTATTTATTATTTTTTATCTAAGGCATAGTATATCTTTCTAATAGCAGTAAAGGTTAAAACCTCGTGAACTTCACTTAATAAGTTTCAATATATAATACATTTTTTTTATTAATAAATAGAAATTATTTTCTATCATCATTACTCCTTTAAATAAGCTACTGCATTATTGTTATTTTTATAATTATTAATCATTAGCATAATAAAAATATTGTGTATTATTATTATTTTTTTATAATCAATAAAAACAATTAATAATCATTTTTTTTTAATTAAAAATCAATTGTAAATTATTACCAATTGGTATCAGATAATTTTTTATTAATATAAAATAAATGAAAACAAGTTATAAAACAGATTAGCAATTTTGAAAAAGTGTCATAAACATTCCCGCATATGATAAAGTCTGTCAAAGTTATGAAGAGTTGTCTTGTCTCTCATTTTCGTGAGGTAAAGGTATTAAAAGCAAGAAGATGGAAAGTTTGAGAACGGACTTGTGAGATACGAGGGCGCATTTACATGATATGAATATAATAGAGAGGGCTGGTTTCATGGAAGAGTGCCGAGAAGCGCTACCTGTTGAACAGAAAGTTCAAACCCTCGGTGACCTACAAGCCATTTACACGTCTACTTCTCTCAGTCATATTCCATTTTCGCAATTATCTTGATTATTTATTTATTATTTTACGCACCAGAATATCCATTAGAAATAATGGCACTTGCGTAATATGATGATAATATCACTATGTTGGTATTAAATTAAATTATCTATCATGAAATCCATAAAACTAACGATATAATAAATAAGAATAAAATCATTTAACTTTATTGGGAAAAAGTATAAAGCTATGACTATTTCTAACATGCCAAGATTATATACACATAGAAATGTCATTCATATATTATATTAAAGCGGAAACATACACCCGATTGCATCGGGATTGACGTTGGTCCCTCACCCTATCAATCGAACTCTAATAGGATTCTAGAAGTATAATATAAACCGTAGGGACCAACTCCCGCAGGAAAATACTCTCGATATGTTTTCTTCATTTATAAATATGTATATACATCAGAGTATTCAAAGAAGAAATGAGCGAATGGCTTTTTCGAGGATTGTAACTCTTATTTATGTTGTCTGATACAGCTATATATTATGAATAATCCATTGGTGATTTCAGCTATACTTCATTTGACTCATACTGAGATAAAAAACAATAAATCAATAGCAAATTAATTGAATGGCTCGTAGATACATTTCATGATAGGGCGAAAAGTGTTTCATTTGTTGATTGATATCTTCTTCAAAATGTTTTTTATTGAATTTAGAGAAGTCAGTAGACACTTCGAGGGCTTTATTTGATTATTAGAGTTCTGTTTTGAATATTGTTTTTAACTTCAAGTGATCACTAACTTTATTAAATAAAGTTAAAAAAATTGTTTAAAGCTTGAAAAATAAATCAAATAGAAGTTTTTTTTTTGCTACTTCATAGCAATTTAATTTTTATAACTATCCAATAGTTTATTTAATATTAAAAATTTTTTTTCAATATAAAAAATATATATTTTTTACCAAAACTGAATTATTGATATTAATTTTTGAAGTTAAAAATTCGATAAGTTTATAAATGATTTAATAATAATAAAACATTTGAACCTGTTAACATTAATTTAATGTTCATGAATGTGATAAAAAATTATCTACATCAAATAATTATTCCTGATCGAATAAATTTGTCGACAGAATAAAAGCTACCTTTAGGATCATTCAAATAAAACACGTTAGCAAGTTCTATAAAAGAAAAATATGAATCATTAAATTAAAAAGTCTATTCAAAGTAATATTTTATTGGTTTAACTTCCATAGCTAATCTTCATAAAAATAACGAATAAATGAAAAGATAACATTCGTCCCTAATAAAATATATTTTTTCGTATCTAATTAACTTTTTGTTTTCAGCGAATGGATCTTACTATTTGCTTATTTATTACGTAATCCTCCTACCATTTTGTTTTATCATTGAATCATTTTAGGACGAAGTTCGTGTCCATCTACTTGATGAAAAGTCATAAAAAATAATAAAAGCTAATGACTGCTTGTCCAATGTTTTATTAAGCTATCAAAAAGCTATTTAGTTTATTGATATGTATTTTTTATTCGCGAACACTTGAAAGATTTCGATCTACAGAAAGATTAAATACCGGAAATTTACTTTTATCAATTTTATTAGTAGACGAGTCGTTTAGTTTACAACAAAAGAGCTACGAATAGAAAATTACTTGGTGTGTTAAAAATTCAATATACCTGTGTGTTGACAAAAGAATTATTATAAAGAAGACGTGCAGGAAGACGTCTTGTTAAACGGCGCCTGATGTCTAAATGAATAAATGCAACACAATTTATTCAAGCTTATGTAGTCCATTCACGCTGCGTGTTTGTTCTGACACAAAACATTTTTAAAATAAAAGATAATATTTTAGAGGTGTATACACTCCATTGCAATATCTTATATATAAGAGCTTTCAAAAATCTACATCAGCAGTTTAAGTGTGAAATAAAAAATATTCTTATTCTAATATACGATACTATACAAGAATTATGAATGAGATGTCTGCTTTAAAATTCGTTTTCTTTTTTAAATTACATCAATAAAATGTTATTGGATACTTTTATATAACTCAGAAGTTAATTGGTGAATTTTTTTTATTAGTAATAAATATTGCTTTATATTATTTCATTAATTTTTTAATTTTTTTTATCATTGCTTTCATCTCATAAGCTAAAAGTCTATTATTAAAGTAAATACCTAAATATTCTATTCACTTTGAATGATTAGACTGGTAGATCCGGCTAGTGAATAAATTATGAAACTTTACAGCATTATTTGGAATCAAAAGAAGTCTCTTTGTTCAGCTGCATTTCATCTCGTAGTTCTAATTTAATTTAATTCTTTTTTCTTTTTCTCATAGTTGTTAAATGATGATAAAAACTATTTCACTTTTTTTGTCATTAATTTTGCATAAAATAATAAACATAATTAACTAAAAAAATTATTTAATTGATTTTAGCTTATTAAATCAAATAATAAAATAAATCTCAATAAATAAATTTTCGATTATGAACAATGTTCCAATTAAATTAATTGAATGCTTTTATAAAATATAATATTCAATCATTTATAAGCCATTGTTAATATAACTCAAATATTTGCAATTTATTCATTTGAACAAATTTTAAAAATAATAATTACCTCAATAAGGGAACACTTTAATAAAATATTGTATATTTTGTGTCTCTCAATTCAAAATAAATCCCAAAACATATTTTAATAAATAAATGATCATGGTTATTCTTGAATTATGGTTTGTAGAAAAATACTTAATTATTAAAGTTAATATGTTGTTTTTGATAAGTAATTAATGAACTTTATAAAATACATTATGACTAAACCAGCTCATAAATAAAGCTTAAAAAAATTTCCAATGTGGGATTAAAAAAAAATTTTTTTAAAAAATAATAAAATAAAGTGCTCATCAGTTAATATGAAAAATCTTTATATACGCAAAAAAGAGTAAAGGATATTTTTATTACAGTAATTAGTAATAATATGATAGACATAAAAAAGTCACGCAGTTAATTCTGAGGATGAGTGTATGATGAAAGGAGGATATATATACACTCTTACATACTTGCTATGTAAAACGAAATAAAAGAAGCTCCCTAAAGGGGGAAAAGAAACACCTGTAATCCCGAAATTTGATCGTTTTGGTCAGTCAACATGACCGGGCTGGGCAGTATTACTAGACAGGAAAGGAGTCTGCAGGCGCTTATCGATTAGTACGATCATGACGAAAGGATTGCAACTCAACACGATGTTAAGGTAAGACCCTCTTTACCTTTCTCTCTACTCCACCTACCCTTAAATTTTAAGAGGCAGAATTATAAATTCTAAAACCTCGAGGCGAAAACGACTACACAAAATTCTCTTTGATATTCTTTCCTTCATTGCATTCTGTTTTCTCTTCTCTTACTGTAATAATTTATTTCTTTCCCTCTCACCCATTAACTTCAACCAACTTACAACTACGTCCTATTAATCTGCTTAATAGACTTGAATAAAAAAATTATAAAGATTAGACATAATCAGTCTCGTTGTCAATTTGGACGTTATCATTTCAGAGTTGTAGGTAATGAGCCATGCATCTGATAAAAATAATAACTTACCGTGCGAAGAAGGCCGCAGCAGCACTCGCTTGAGATGGTGTTCCAGGTGTACCTTTAACTGCATACGAATATTTAGTCTCTTGAAACATTGGCAGGACATTTAATGACTTTGGATAACCATAACGATGATAATAATGATCACCATATTTATCACTATGAACTCTTTCACTTTTATCAACAGACTTAGCAGAGCAATGACCTTGTGCTGAACGCGGATGATTTTTGTCATGATTACTAGGATAGATAACTTTCTCAGACGACTCATATTGATGTGTCTTCTCATGTGTTAAAGCGGGCGGCTTATCGATAGCTCCATAAGACTTAAATCCCTTGAGCTCACCGTAATACTTGAGATTGTCGACCTTATAGCCCACGTGGCTAATAACTGCAGGCTCGTGATTGCTTTTCGATTTCGATCCCTCATGTTTGTGCAATTGTTCTCGTCCTAATCGACTTTTTTCCCCTGCTTTACCATCAGATTCACCTTTCAATTTATCCATTTTAGTCACTGATTTGTCGTTTAATTTATTTTGACCATCACTTTGTTTCAAATAATCTCCAGTTCCTTGTTTATAAAGTTTGGCTTCGTTATTATCCAGCATCACATCAGGACATATAACTCCACCAGCATTAACACCAAGAATAATGCCTCCATTAAAGTTAGTTCGACTCTGATCACATGCTTTGATCTGTTGCTCCATGTGCTTCAAATTGTCATCATTAATCTCAGCAGAATCATCAGACTTAATCCGATCCACATGCACGTCCTGTTTATGCATTTGACGGTGGCGGGTCATAACGCCACGCGTTGCTTCTCGCGCAGTCGGCGTGGTACTGACTAGATTAACGGGCGTCTCACTACCAAGACCACTCCCGCCCCGAACCCCCACTTGTCGTCGTCCCTTCTCCTCCTATAAATAATAAAGAATAAAGTTACATTTTGCCATCATTAAACAGAGACTGACTCTACATTATAATTACAATTATGATACCTAGTAATGATGGTTGAAATCATTTTCAACAGTTATTTATTCGATATTATTGAAAAATGAGTAATTGATCTGAATATTAATGATGGTAAGTTTATATTAGCAAAGCTCAATATACTATTAACCGAATGTAAATGTTGTTTTCATTTAATTATAATTTATACAGGTTTTTTTATTATTTTTTTGATAAAGGTATTCTTGGTTTTAATTGGTAGTATTAACTTCACTGATACCCATGAAAAACTCGGCAAAAATAAAACATTCTGAACCAAAAGGATGTTTTTTCAACTCTCTATAAATCTCTTGGTAAAAAAAAAATTAAGTTATTCACAAAATGAGAATATGTTACAAAATTATTCAAACTCTATCACTGAATTACCAATCAATTTAATTATAATATTAAAATTCATGATTTATTTTTTATACTTATTATGAATTAATTTATCGAGTCTTTATTAATTTATTGCCAAATATTAGAATTAAGATCTCCAATAAAGTATCTGATATAAGGTAGCTATGGTATAATATCAACTTAATATGCAACATGAGCATGATAGGAATATCGCAAGAGATCAAAGGTACTTGATATAAAATAGACCAACTTAGATAAAATATCATGATAAGAGATGTAGAAAAGATTAGAACGACCCGCAAATTATGCAACCTTAATAATGCATAAAAAATACATCTACATAAACAAGAATAAATGATCAACTCGAAAAAAAAATAGTTTACATATCTTATAAGCAGTGTGAATTCTCAGGACTATTATGCTAACTTGTATCCCAGTCAGTATTTTTCAAGCACATTAAATCAACTGGACTTTTATAGAAAAGAGTTATTTCCATGAGAATTTTTCTTTTCAATCTCTAAAACACCCTTGAGGTTCACAGTTCTCATGCCTGTTGGGTTTTCTTGTTGATTTAAGTGGGTCAGCGACAATTAAAAAATTTGTATTTCATTATGTTACAAAAAATTACATTGTGATACCAAAAAAAAAATTGGACTTTGTATTTTTACTTGTAATAAATGACTGGTTAATTAAATAATAATTTATCTAATTAATCTATTCATCTTATTTAGAAAGAACTCTCTAATTGAGCATATTGATAATCAAGATAAAATAAATTCGTTCTTTCTCTTCCGCATACTTTTACCTGAATTTTTTTTACATCATCCGGTCGTCTAATGACATCAGAATATTTTGGTGGATCCTGTAGATACCTCGGGGCTGGTTCAAATCTGAAGGAATCTTTTGGCGCATGTTCTTGATACTTAGGAGGCCTATCAAACTGACGATACTTTAAAGCCTCCACTTGATGATTGGCGACATGACATTCGGCTATTTCAATCTTATTCAGTTGATGATTACCAGTTCCATTAATCTTTGGTTCTGGCTTGGTATGATTGTGTTTGACAGCCGTCTTCTCTCGTTTTTCGTTTTTATCTGATGAAACTAACTTCAATTCTTTCTTATCCTCAATACTTGTTCCACCATCATGTGTCTTTTCATTGCCTGATCGATGACATTTGCTATGACGACTTTCATGTTTAGGTAATCCTGATTCAATTTGATAAAATGTTAGTTCTCGTGAATTTTGTGACTTGGATCTCACTTCGTTGGATAATGAATGCTGTTTTTCAGGTTGTGAATGACTACGTGGATACTTAGGATGAAAATAATCGACAAAGTCGTTGGGCTGGCAAGACAATGTTTGACTAATTGTTCCAAGTCTTCCAGAACTCCCACCCTCTGGGAAATCATTGGGATATTTACTATTCTGCTGAGCTCTGTACTTCTCTTCAAATTGGGAATAGTTGTAAGTGCTGAAGCCAATTTGATTAAAATTGCGACTGAGGTTTGCTGAATCATAATCTGTTGAAGTGACAGCCTCCATATTGATCTGAAATGAATAAAAAAAAAATACTTAGCTTCCATTGACTTTATTTTGAGAGAGTAAATATAAAACTAAATAAACTGTACACTTAGTGGACGGTAAGTAAAGGATAACATTCCAAAAACGATAATAAGCTTAAGGAGAAACAAAAGGGGTGATGTACGTACATTGGTAAAAAAGAAAAGGTTGAGTCAAAGGGACATCACCAAAGGGAAAACAGTTGAAGCGTCAAAGAGAAAAGCCACCAAGCGGATAAGACAACAATCCCCTTCACAAATGCCACTAGGATTTGGATCACTCATCTCTAGAGCAGGAGCTAAATTTCAAAGGCAAATGTCATGCTTTTTTATATTTGCAAAATGACTTGAATATCTGAATTTTCATTAAAATTTCAAAAAGATTTCATTAGTCTAATAAAAAAAAAAATGCTCTCAAATGCTAATCCACTTTAATATTTAAAGAAGCACCTTGGAAACATAGTAATTTATGACTAAAAAATTATTATCTTTATTCAATTGTATGGAAAATTGATCAACTCACTGCTTTAATTTATTTTCATTATTTATTGATTTCTCTTTCACCAAGTTTTCATTTATTTGCTACAGCTTTTTCCAGTGATGCGTCAATCGAATAGTTTTTTTTGCATTGTTGAAAAAATTGATTGCAAATTTTGTATTCTAAAAGTTGAACGGAAACATGAGAATGTTTACTCATTCAAATTCTAGCCTCATCCTGCACAAATTCCAGTCGTGTTTCGACCTGACTTTCATCAAAGTTTTTTTTCCACTTCTGTGCATTTTGTTGAATTTTAAAAAAATGACTATAAAAATCATTCAAATACCACAAATGTTTATGTAAATAGTGACTTTTATGTTCTTTTTTTACGAGTTTGAGGCGATTTAATTGGGAAGGAGAATAGAATAAAAAGACAAAGGCAGTAAACGGTAGCCATTGACAATAAGTCCTAAGAAGGATGACCTTCGTTAGGGGGATATTCTAGATGCACCTGGTACAAGATTACATCGACACCCTCCACACATGGCGTTAGCCATGTATGTTAGAAGAGGGAAGCAATGTTGACGATTGAAATATCGATGTGCAATTTATTAGAATTTTGTAAAAGGGAGGAATAAAATGGTACCAAATGGATTCACGAAAGTCATTTCCAAAGGGTCAAGGGTGAAAAACACGATGGAAAAAAAAAATAAAACGTCTACTACTAAATCTTACATCTTTGGTATGACATATCATTAAAATTTTTATTAGAAAAATGACTTTTTTTTTTTATTTATAGACATCCATTTATTTTCAACAATAGGAAATAAAATTTTTTTTCTTATTTATTTCATAATATTTCGAATTTTTTAGCCAACGTATGCCTTTGGATTAAAATAATCTTCGATTTCTATTGATTTACGCAGGAGCTAGACAGGATATTAAAACAGCACTATCATTCTCTGTCTTTTGAAACTCATACGAACGTGAGACAATAGTAACTTTTGATTATCACTTCCTACGCAGCATTGGTAATTATTAGGATAACTCTGAACAATAGCAAATTGGATTTGTATAATATTTGTATAAAAATTTTTAATTATATTCATTTTGTTTGTGATAATTTTTGCCTCTTTTTATGTAGCAAAAAATAATATAAATAATTCTCGCATGAGTTTATTTTATTTTTTTAAAATTTAATTATAAAATTATACAAAAATGTTGAAAAACTTTTGTCAATTTTTTTCTTTCACATTTAATTTCCTTTTAGCTTTTTTATGATTAAATTAAAAGTTTTCAAGTTAAGAAAATGAAAGTATATAACATTAAATATATTTTCCAATCCAACAAGTTCCACTTTCAACCCGAAAACGCTTACAACATTTTGGGGTGAATAAAATAATATGAATTTTTATTCATCAATTCCGATTACTTTGGGAAAGAGTTAACTTTTTGGAGTTTAATCTTCTCAATATTCTGTATTTGAAAAGATTTTGCATCAATCTATTCCGTAACAGATCGGCTTAATGGAAGCATAAAAATTGACAAAGAGATCAAAGCGAAATTGTCATCTTGCGATTTCGAAATTTGAAATGACGGAAATGATGGACTTGAGGCAAACATTCCATGGAGATTTATTTTCCTTTGTTCCCGACTGATTGTAGTTGATAACAAAAAGCCTGAAGAGCCAAATACACAGTGCAATATGCCGAGATACACCTCAACATTATCCGTGACCGCGTCACAAAATTATTCTCCTCCCTCGCCGCTGCTTCATGTGCAATCCGTCAGGACGTTTACGCACTTGCACGCGCAAAAATCGTGGGTGGGTATACAAAAGTGCGAATAGGCACGCCTGCTAGCTCTTTAATCTTCATGGATCAAAACGAAGGGTGAGGTTGACTATACAAGTTATAAGGGAGTCGGGTTCTTTACTACAAGGACACGATTGCTTCGTGAATTCAAGTGAAACCCTAACAACATTTCAAAGGAATTTAGAAGCCGCAAAAAAATTGCATTGTAATTAAAATTTATCTTGAAAATCCATATGGATGAGATGCATTTAAGATTGTACTTTATCTGAAGCAAAGAATATACTTTTAATTTTTATGTCTGAGTAATTTTTTCGAGATTAAATTTTTACCTATAGAAATGAAACTTAAGGTGTTTTTTTTTTGTATAAAAAAATAGGAAGTGGGCACTTCTTGTTATTTCTTTTTAATGGTACTGCAATGTACTTCAATCTCCTTACGCTTCGTCATTCTCGTTTGTCTCAGTTTTGTTCTTAACCATAAAATTTTTGCTTCCATTTTTTTTTTTCTTTACATTTTAGTTACTTAAGCACGAAGGTTTGTTACAAGTAAAAAAGTCGCAAGAACTCTTTTATCTAAAAGCTAAAGTAAACCGCTTTTTATTTCTCTACGTACACACTGTCTTTTACTCCGTTCTTAAACTCAGAAACGCGAAAAAGTTAAAATATAAAATTATATATAAACCAACTTGCTACCTGCGTCTTACATTTCACGATATTATGCTTGCCTAACATGCGTAACTCTTGTTAAATAGTAACTACATAGTTTGCATGATAAATAAATATAATATAATTTTTGTTGAAGAAAAAAAATTAAATAAATAACCGAAAGAGTAAACAAAATTACGATTTTTTTTTTATTGTAAAATTATTTTGAAAAATAAAATAATAAGTTGCGACAAATTAAAGTATATTTTACTTTATTATAAGAGAGAACGAGTCTATCAAGGTTGCTCATTTTATTCACAAAAAGAAGAATATAATAGAAAACATTGAAATAAGCTCTTCAAGAGCTTTATGCGGGTATTAGACGTATATACAGAAAATGTATATATTTTGCAAGCATTTAATATTATTATTAATTTGCATATAAATTGTTTGTTGTATTTTTTTTTAATCAAAACAGATTTTTTCAATTAAATAAAAAAAATTTTAAATAAATGTACCATTATTTATAATGGCATAATATTTTTTTTCTTGCCAATTAATAAAATTAAATAATTAAAAAAAGTTACTTGTCATTTCAATTATCACGAGCAATTAAATTAATCATCACTATAGAAATGGTCAAACACACTTCAAGCATTTTATTAAGAGAAACCCTAAAAGAAGGGTCACCAAACGGTATGTTTATTTTATAGCATAATTAAACTTTATCATTATTATACTCCCTAAAAATAAGAACCTGTCAAATTTTGACGTTTCTATTTGAGACAAAATTCCTCAAGTGGGCCACTAATAAATCAGTACTCTGAGTATTTATAAATATTATATATGTCTTGTTAGGATTTAAAAAAATAAAAAGTACGTATTTTTTTATTTTTTAAAATTTTAATTTTTTGAAAAGTTATTAATAATCAATTTTTTTTGCAATTTTTCACGTAAAAATTTTTTTCTTCCGATTGGTTCGATGAATCTTTATAATTTTTGGTCAGTACTTTGAGAAATAATAGTCCTTCCTAAATATATTTTAAAATTTTTTTTTTTCATGTAATGTTGTTCAATAAATTGATTTCAGTTGTAAACAATTGACAATTATTAATGCTTCTCAATTAATTACAACAATAAAGAAAATATATTTAGATTCCTCGCTCGATTTCGAAAAAATGAGAAAAAAAAAAGTTAGAAACTTGCATTAGGTGAAAGACTACGTTCATTTGTTTATTTCGTTATTCAACGCGCTGTGAAACAACTCTGACGCGGTGCGACTTGAATGCTATTCGTGAAGTAAAGTATATAAAAAAGGGATTACAGGTAGACAGGATCTTAGTATTGTAATAATTATTTCATTGTTTTATTATATATTATTTATAAATTGTTTATAACATCGGTTTAAATTAGGTTTACATTGAAATTAATCTTTAGTTACTCTTACGTATTAATGTAGTTTTCGTTATGCTTTCAGTGACAGATTTTCTGGATTCTGAAAATTTTCTACATAATAGTTTATTTCCATTTATTGGGATAAAACAATGATACTGACGAGTGCATTTTAATGTTTTAATCTTCTCATATCGAGGCTTTAGAAATTCTTCATTTAATTTATGATCTTCTTCTGAACAGAAGTCAAAATTAATATTTTTGAAAAATTTTGTTGCCCACTCATACATAAGTTTTGGCGAAGTTATGTTTTTGTCACCTGTACACTGTAAACTCGATCGATATGCATGTCTTTTTACCGTCCCTCCGATTCCATCGCAAGCCCCTTTACCGTGCGAAGTGGCAAAAAAAATTCCATTCAGCTGTTATACCAAAATCTTTTTCATGATTTATTAAATTAATAAAATTAAATTTATTTTTATACTGGGACCCAGCACCGTCAGAAAAATAATAAATTTTTTTTATACCTTCCAAATCAATATTTTCTTTTAAATGATTTATCAGTTTAGAGTTAAATAAATATACTGAATTAGCATCGTGTTGAAGATGTTCAGAAATTATTACATAATTTTCATGATTTATGACATTGTCTTTTTTGAAA